TTTGACACAGTTAAGACTAACTTTGTAGCATTCTAGACCTGTTGGTTCCCACTTACACAAAGAACTGCTCCATAGGGTTTTCCAGGCTGTGACCTCTTGGACCACCAGGCCTGTCGTCCAAGGTGCCTCTGGGTATATTCAAACCACCGACCATTTATTTGGCTAGTAGTACATGTAAGTATCTTTGGGGGTCTAGCACTATTCCTGGTAGGCCCCTTGGAATACTCAAAATCTAAAATTCTATAAGAACAAGATGGGATACAGCACCATCTTACACTAAAAACTCTTCCAAATCAGGGCAATCTTTTATGGTTTCAGGTAACAGTTCTTAACTTTTCTTCCTATCCCATGACTGAAAATCTGTAACCTTACTGCACGCAGCGCAGGGTACAACATTAAAGCTACAGAATCTAACCCTCTATTGTCTCCTTCTCAGAAGACAGCATAATAGAATACAAGTGACTCAGATAAGTTTCAAATTTTGATTATCCTCCAGTTTTAAAAGTAAGGAATAGATAATCTTTGGGATTTCATCACTAACACCAATGAATACCCAAGTAAGAATACAAATCTCTTAAATTTTCATAAAACATCAACGTTAAATCACCTACTTCCTGATAAATAAAATATGTTTGTCCTTACAGAAGACCCAATGCCTAAATTCCTATCGTTCCTGGCAAAAGCCATGATAATGCTTCAAGTGCATGACACACCTCTATGAATCATTCTGGTCTACTCTTCCATCCTCTATACACACAGCAAAGAAAAGAATGAAATAAGAAAACAGAACCTAAGCCTTATCAAGCCTTCAGAGCTATCCACCAATTCACAGGAAATACAAATGGCAGAGCAACATGCTAAATGACACAAAATGCAATCAGCAAAATCAAGTCTGTGGAAAATCGACTAGATAATATATAGTAATTATATGAACTATTTTAGTTATAAATGGTATTGTTATGTTTATAAAAGCACTTTTTACAGATATATACTGAAATAATTCAAGGAAATGCTTCAAAATAATCAGGAGTGACTTGTGTGAAGTATCTAGAACTGACAAACGCATAGAGATAAAAGTTTATTAGTGGTTACCAGGTGCTGGGGTGGGGAGGGGGAAATGGGATATTACTGCTTAAGCGGTACCTAGTTTCTGTTTGGGGGTGATTAAAACTTTTGGAATGGATAACACAACATGGTGAATGTAATTAACATCACTTCACTGTATACTTAAAAATGGTTACAAGAGCAACCTTTTTGATATATATCCATAATTTAAAAAAAACCAGGGAGAGGGAATAGATAAAACAGTGGCCATGGGTTGATTAATTATTGAAGCTGGGTGATGAACAGAGATTCATTATACCATTCTCTTTTACATATATTTGAAATGTTCCATGACTTAAAAAAAAAAAAAAAAAGTTGAAATAAAAACGATTTCTAGAAAACAAAGGCCAACCATTCTTCATTTTACTATGCATTACTTGGAAGACTTGTCACACATACATAAAGAGTCCTGGGATATACCACAGATGGTATTTGCGGGGGTGGAGATACCCACGATTCCTTTCATTTAGGTAATTATTTAGCGTCAACAAAATACGCAGTAGTAATACTGTACGTCAGTGTTAACAGGGTTAATAAAATACTAATTCAGAAGTGGAATTTTTAGAACGTAAGGAATCCGTGGAAACTTTGATAATAAAAAACAAATATCGGGCACTAAAAAGATGGGCAAACCTTTGATTGTAAACACTACAATAATATTTTTCAGCCATTTACAATGCAATTTCATATCTCTCATGTTCATTAGTATTCTTAGCAACCTGAAGAGCAGGCATATTATTCACATTTTAGAGATGAGGGAGATTACATTATTTAATGGTTTAGATCATAACCTACTCTAAATGACACGTTTTTGGATTCCTCAGTCAATTCCTCTTTTCTCTGCTCCATAGCAACTATCCCCCTACCACAGTATAACAACATGTAGAACTTAAAAGTCCCGGAAACCTGGACAGTAAAGAAATGACCTAAAAAGATACCAAATTTATATCTGAAACATTCTGTGAATTTCACCTTAAGGGTGTGCTTATACAGTAGGCACAGATTTAACCCCATTTAAATAGGAAGATCCAAAGCTTTCGGCATATCTCGGAGCCAGTTTCCCATCTTATTTTATTAAGTAACCTAACACAGTTGATCCAGATCACCAGGTTACTCATTAGGATAATAACAAAAATTTGAACCTTGCCTATAAACAATCTTCAGGATGACTTTTGGGGGAAAAGTAATACCATTTTCCTGACTAGTTTTTCCACCCTCTACCAGCTCCTACCTAAGGAAGTGTATTTCCGAAACCAGTAAATCTAATGGATTTGCTACTTTCCAACTTAATAAAACATTCTATCAGTGTCATACACATCTATCATATAACCCATGAAGTGAATTCCTCAACTCAACTTGAGGCAGTTAATTCCCCAGCATGTGCTCATCTTCTGAAATCCTTGATAAAATAAACGCTGTTCATTGCTACTACGTGGTTGTTGCTCCACTAGTCATTAGGGACCTTTTCCTATTGACTGAGATTAGAATGGAAGGGTAAAGATTCCTTTTCACTGACACTCGACATGCCAAACTAACTGTGAGGCCAACCGTTGTGTGTCTACCATTTTTAGAACCAAACAGCAGCAGTAAGAAATGTGAAGTTATTTCTGCAAACATACAAACATCACCATTCCGCGCTGTCTGTATCCCCTCTTTTCAACCAAAGCCTTCCAAATCTCTCACTTAGAACAAATTTTTCTCAAACTTTCTTATTTACAATGAGATGATAGGAGTGATCAAAAATTTCTCTGCTTCTTATGGGTGATGATTACACAATATGATTAATGTAGTTGATACTACTAAATTGTACACCTGAAAAATGCTGAATTGGCAAACACTGTGTTATATATTTTGTCTGCCTCATCAAAAAGAAAAGACTTACCATAAAACTTGAGAAGACTATTCTCATTAAGAGGGAAGAAACTGTACACTGGTAAATTTTCAATACACTGATAAATTAACAAGAATTTCTTACCCTAAAAGTCCACGATTCCCCAGAAATCATATCAAAAAAGTAAGGTGTATCAGAAGTTTTCTGAAAGGAGTACTAACAAAGAAATAGTATAGTATAAGAATCACAGAAAGAGAACTACTCCTAACTCTTTATAAGGATTCTCAACTCTGACTACACTTTAGAATCTCTTAGGGAACTTTAAAAAATATATACCAATATGTAAGAGTCTACCTAGACTAGCTGTTTAAGAATCCCTCCAAGTACGACAGGGTATTAAGTATCATTAAAACGTGGTCAAGTGATTCCTACGGGCAGAAAGAGTACAAAGTGCAGCTGCTTCACACAAACCTACTGGGTTTCAGTGCCTTCAAGTCACTCAACCAGTGACGAGGTTTTTCAGTGGCAAAGTGATGTCCAGATCTGTTCTTTCAACTTGGAAAACAATTTTTTTTTTTTAAATTTTAAATTTCTAAGTACAAAAACCATGCCATTTTCAAAACATGTGTTCAAACATAAGCAACCATAAAAATCTCAACAAACCACTAGGGACAAATGAAATATTCATTTTAATAACATATTAAGCAAATAATCTTAATATGGCGTTCAAGGCACTTTACATACAATGTAGATCCAAACTATCTTTCCAGTCTTATTCTACTGTCCTTTTAATGACTATTTCTCAAACACATTAGTGTACTTTTTGCTCACTTGAATCTCTTTCCTAATCGATGAACTCAGTTCGAATGTTTATCTTCTGTGAAGCATTCTTTAATAACTTAAACAAGCTACTGATTTTACTCCAAAAGCAGAGACTGATGTTCGAATTGGATAACATAAAAATACTAATCATAGGAATACTGGCTCTCCAAGATGAAAGAAAGCAAACAAAAAATAAATACTGACTGCTTATCAAGTCTAACATGAGTATGGTCAATAAATTTCTATATACTGTGTAATTTAAAAAGTGGCAAACCAGAGAAAATGTTTACATAATGTTAATGAAGACTACTGTTATCAGAATGCATACAAATGTCATTAACATTTTTTAGCATATCATTCCTGTCCCCAGTAAAGGATTCTCCACCATCAGATCTAAATCAATCAATCAAAGCCATCTATCCCCCACTCCTATCCATTCATCTTCCAATTTTACTTCTCATGACTCTTTAAGCACTAAGGCTGCTCTGAAGGCATAGGAAGAAATGATAATCATTTATTTCAACGTCCCTGCCTTATAAAATTATACCATCACCACTCCCCAACCTACAATACAGATCTTAACCTTTAATAAAGGAATTTATATTGATAATTCATTACATATTGCTTTCTGTACTCAATTTTGTGTGTATTAGTTCGTTTGCTTAAAGGAAGATATACGATTTTTAAAGGATCATCTGTTAAGAGTTTTTCTGTATTCCCCAAATACAAATTTACAACAGCAGAAGGGAAAAAAGAAAAAGAACAAAACATGCCAAACAAGCATGTGAATATTCCCCAAGCCAAGTAGCAAGTACACAATAGAAAAATAATGAAGAGAACACAGAATACTATTGAGTTCTATTTTCACCATTAGACAAACCAGACAGTCCTTACTTTTATTTGGTATACAAGTTAAAACTGAAACGAAACTGACTTGTCTCAAGAATGGGAAGTAAAAGCCACAGCCTAGAAAAAACAGACAGCTTCATACGCCCTGACAATATATTAACTGATTGTTTGAAATCAACAGAAATGTCAGCCTATCTAGTCCACCTGTGATGGTTTGCGGGGAGGTACTTTTTGCTTTGGCAAAAAGGGGAGAGACTTTGTTTAAAAAACATGTTTACTGTTCATTACTGTGAAAAGGAAAGTTCATTACTACAAAATAGAAGAACAAAATGGTTCTTATTCTTACTACATGGCTTTTTACCAAAATACAGAAAATAAAATTCCTTCAACATACCTGTCATAATAATCCCGTTGAAAGTCATAGTCCAAGTCAAAAGAAGAGCTGAAAAAATAAATATCAAAGAGGATTAATTTTGGAGCTGTTGATATAAATTCAAAACAGCAGATGGGAAAAAAAAACTATGCCAAAAAACCACAACAAATAGATCAAACCAAGATAAGCATGGACTATTCCCCAAACAATAAATCACAGTCTCAAATTCTTTTCCTCAATAGGATTCATCTTAGGCCACTGGGCGTGCAGTGGCCAAACTGATAATTCACATGAAAGTTTGCTAGAATTTCAACACATAATATAACAGGTAAAAGAATAAGAACACTGAAAAACACAATAGTCAACTAAGCATTGTTATACCACCTTCTTCCCTGTTCTTACTCCCCAGCTTCTTAGAATGTAAAATAACCCCTCTTGAAGGACTTCAATTTATGCTATGAACAGCAAACTATGCTTTAACAGCAAAAATCTCAGAGAATTCTAGTAATTCTCTGTGATACAGGGGTTAACAAGGAAGCATATTAACACTTACAAAATTAATAAAGCATTACTTTTACAAAAATTAATCAGAAACCACATTTAACCCTCCCCACATCCAGAAAACAGATAGAGAAGTTGCCCATTGATGGACACAATGCAGTTATAAATAATAAAGTTCCGGACCTGAGTAGAGGGGACGGAGAAGGGTGTTCTGGTACTGACCCGTACATCTCCGCTGCAGATCGTTTCACACCTGCTTTTCCTCGGTTCACTTTTGGCTCTGCAGCCAGATTAATATCTGGAAAAACGAAAATAAAAACACAAAATTTAATGACAAGTCTTCTTGCAGGAAAAAAAAATTCTAATGTTAACAGCTTTTAAAACGGTACAAAGTCAAAAATGAACTAAGGGCTAACAACAGATCTACTTGTCTCTTCTCAAATAAAAAAGGCTTAAGAATTTTACAAGGCTAGTTCATCGTCCCTTTTTTTTGGGTACTGTATTCTTTATCAAAAACTGTTTAGTAAAAATATTGTTAGGTTTCTCTTTCAACTCTCAAAAGGCAGGGCACTCACTCTGCTCACTCAGCTTGCCTATTTTTCCTATCACAGGAGAAAAGTACTGATTAGTAATAGTGGTTGCCTTTCCAGGAAAGGTTCTGTGAACATAATTTTTAAATTGAACACCTACTCCAGAGCAGCCAGCTACTTACCCTGTCACCTAACCTACTGTCGTCAAGTTGATTCTGACTCATAGTGACCCCGCAGGACCGAGAACTGCCCTACAGGGTTTCCAAGGAGCGTCTGGTGGATTCTAACTGCTAACCTTTTGGTTAGCAGCCGTAGCACTTAACCACTGGGCCACCAGGGCTCCCCCGTCACCTACCACCTACCAAAAAAGTGTTCATATTCTTCTTGTCCTCTAACAAAAAAGCCCATCAACTTGCGGTTGGTTCTCCAAAATCTCAATACACCAAATGACCAACTGAAAAACAGATTGAGTATTGCCTATCTGCTGAACACTATTACATGAATGAATAACCTTAAGAGTCATTTGTTCAAAAAACTCATTTCTAAGTTATCTGAAGTTTATCCCAACTTTGCTTTTACAGTTTAGACTTTGGAAGCATGTAAACTTCTATGAAATTAAAAACAGAATTAAATTTTTGAAAAAATCCATAAAATGTAAAACCAAAATTAAACAACAGAACCAAACTATATTTCAAGTTGATTACATTACCTTATAAAAGAATTATTTCCTGTGACTCTAAGCTACAGTATTTAGACTCAATATTCACAGTGAGACATATACCAAGAATAAAAATAGCCTATCTAACATAGCATTCAGTAATCGTGATTTTGGTGAAAATATTACTATAGTTATCCTGAACTGTCACACAAAGTATGTATAAAACGAAAAGTTACATAAAAACCCAGTAATCTTGAGTTTAATTTAAAATTATCAGTATAACTCATACACTGTTTTCTTAAAAGAAAATGTAACCAATGTCACTGAATAGTATGTACACAAACTGTTAAATGGGAACCTAATTTGCTGTGTTAACTTTTACCAAAAATATAATTAAAAAAAGATCCTTCCTATTCTGCCCACTAACACTGGCCAGAAGCAATTAAAATTCAATAGCCATGAAACTCCTAATGCCCAGATTTATGGTTTCTAAATATTCCCACTAAAAGGGAAAAGGGCTCTTAGGAAAAACAGGCAAATTCCAGGTTTAGATTAAGATAAATGTACCAGATAACCTGGATATCTTGTGGTTCCAGAAAGCAATGCAAAGTTACAAGGGTTAGGTCTCAAGGACACAGGAAGATGATCCATGGGCCAAAGATGAAAGTATTTTGAGCTCCAGAAAGTGATTTGCAATCAATTTAAACTACATGAACTCTAAAAATTAAGAACTTTTATACATCAAAGGACTTATCAAGAACACAGAATGGGAGAAAATATTTGGTAACTATATATCTGATAAAGGTTCAACATCCCGAATGTATAAAGAACTACAACAAAAAGACCAACAGCCCAATTAAAAAATTTGCAAGGGATCTGAATAAGCATTTCTAAAAAAGATACACAAATAATCAATAAGCACAAAAGGCAAATGCACATCTAAACTACAAGGAGATACCACTTTACACCCACTAAGATGGCTATTAAACAAACAAGTGTTGGCAAGGATGGTGACGTGGTGGTGAAGAGATCGGCTGCTAACCAAAACGTCGGCAGTTCGAACCCACCACCCGCTCCTTGGAAACCCCTATGGGCCAGTTTTACTCTGTCCTATAGGGTCGCTATGAGTTGGAATCGATTTGAAGGAAAGGGGTTTGGTTTTTGTGTTTTTGTTTTGGTGAGGAAGGAGAAACTGGAGCGCCCATGCATTGCTGTTAGAATGTGCAGCCTGTGTGGGGAACAGTTTAGCTGCTTCCTCAAAAGGTTAAACATAATGATTACCCTGAATTACTCAGCAATTCCATTCCTAGGTACACACTCAAGACTTGAAAGAAAGGACTCGAACAGATACATGTATATCAATGTTCACTGTAGCATTATTAACACTAGCCAAAAGGTGGAAACCATGTAACACAGTAGCAAAATGTCCATCCAGAGATGAATGAACAAAATATGGTATACAGATACAATGGGTTATTATTTAGCCATAAAGAGAAATGAATTTCTGACATATACTATGACATGTGTAAACCTGAAAACATTCTAAGTAAGTCAGACACAAAAGGGCAAATTACGTGATGCTATTTATATGAAATACCTAGAAAAGGCAAATGCAGAGACAAAGTTTATCAGTTGTTACAGGGGCTGAGGGAAGGGCGAATGAGGAGTATTGCTTAATTAAGGAGTACTGAGTTTCTGTTTGGGATGATGAAAAGCTTCTGGAGACATAATTGTGATGGTTGTACAACATAATGAATGTAATGTCACTGAACTGTACACTTAAAAATGGTTAAAATGGCAACCTTTCTGTTACACATATTTACCACAATAAGAAATATTTTTAAAGATAAAAAATATGAATTCATTCATAATGACACTAAAGAAAAGCAACAGTGATATTTGGAAGTTGTTAAGAGTATCAATTCATTATACCAAAATTTAAAAAAAAAATTAGGAATCAAGACATGTCTTGCCTTTCCAAAGTGAACAGAACTTAAGGAAAATCAAATATTAATGAGGGAAGTTCTTCATTTTAGAAAAATTACAGCTAATAAATACAGAAGAAATTAGGAACAATTGCTTTTTTGCAACCTCTAATGAGATACCTATGCAATGATCATCAATGGAGGGTGACTTCCCCATGAATCATCACTAAAAGTGAGATGACCATTTTAGGCCACCTGTGATACTATATGAATTGCATAACACTATCTGTCAAGTATTTTCACCAAAATAAACTGAACTTGAATTTAATCAAGCCTCTGTATCTACACAGTCCAATATGGTAAGCCACTAGCCACATGTCACTACCGAGCACTTGAAATGTTGCTAGTCTGAATTCAGGTGTGCTTTAAATACAATACATATACTGGATTTCAAACACTTTTTAAGAAAAAAGAATGTTGTAGGGTAAAGAATTTAACTTTACTCAAAGAAGTTTGTCTTGGTCCTTGGTTCCTGAATAAACTTCTAAAACCTTGGATGTACCCTAATGATTGATGTGTCTTTGATGGAGACTCCAGCCATAACTAAGGGTTTAACACTTATGTTGGGTAGAGACTGCCTATGCCAGAAAGACCCACCCAGTGTGATATCAACCTCATGTTGACTTTACGGTATCAACTAACCTCAGGGGAGAAATTACATAATGAAACCCCCAATAAAGGTTCTGGACAGGGAAGCTCCAGAAGCCTCCTGGTTGATAAAGACACCGATCATATAGGAGGGTAGTATGTGCCTTTTTACGACATGGACACTCTGCACTGGACCCCTTTCTTATGCATCTCTTCATTCTGCATCCTTTTTGCTATACAGTGGTTCCCAGAGTTCTGTGAGTCATCCTAGTGAATTATCAAAGCTGGAGGAGTACTGGGGAACCTTGACCTTACGGCTGGCATCCCGAGGGGATGCTAGGAAAACCCTGAATTTTTAGCCAACAGGCCAGAAGTGAGAGTGTCATAGGCACTTCCACGCTTGTAGCTGGCATCTGAGGTCTTTGGAAGACTTGGCAGTTCAGAGGACATTAACTTGTAAGGTATGACCGTCCACCAGGTGCTTAGGGTCAGATGACGAAGTGCTGCATGTGCAGCTGGTATTGGAACACATAAGAACAGAAATGATGGTAACTTGGATTTGATCAAACATCTGGTTTCAGAGAAATGAGATTTGATTTTTTTCAGCAATTGTAAAATACCTCAATATTTTTTATATTGACTACATGTTGAAACACTGGGTTATTTTAAATATATTATTAAAATTAATTTCACTTGTTCCCTTTAACTGCTTTTAATGTGGCTAATAAAAATTTTAAATTACATATACGGCTTGAATTATTTTTCTATTGAACAGCACTGCTCTAATCTACTAAATCAAAAAACCAAACATGCTGCCATCGAGTCAGTTCTGACTCACAGCAACCCTACAGGACACAGTAGAACTGCCCATTGGGTTTCCAAGGAGCAGCTAGTGGATTCGAACTGCTGACCTTCTTCAACAGCAGCCAAGCTCTTAAGCATGGTACCACCAGGGCTCCAACTACCAAACCAGTTACCGTCAAATCGATTTCAACTCACGGTAACTCCCATACTGCACAGGGTTTTCAAGGATACAACCCTTCAGAAGCAGATCACCAGGGCCTTCTACCAAGGCGCCTCTGGGTGGGTTAGAACCCACCTTTCAGTTAATAGTCAAGCATTTAATTGATTCTGCCACCCAGGGACTCCTCAGCCAAGTCCAGAATGTATGAAATTACAACAAATTAAACACCATGAATTTTAAAAATGTGGGGAAAGGATAAAAAAAACTTAGATTTTACATCCAAGGCACAACTAACAGAATGCACTTATGAATACAGATTGGATGCTGGTTTGCATAAACCAAGTTATTTAAAAAAAGTTTGAGATAATAAAGGAAAAAAATCTTAACATGGATTGAATATTAAATGGTATTAAGAACTTATCATGAACTTAAGTGGGATAATGGTATTGTCGTTTGTATCTTAAGTCTTTATATTCTGGATATATACTACACTCTTAAAATACTCTCAAAAGAGAAAAAAACATAGTTTAATATATTTTGGGTTTCCTAGTACTTTGGGTGTAGGACGAATGAATATAAAAATATGTGTATTCTCAATTACAACCGTTCTGTGTATCTTAAATGTTAAGGATTGTTAGGTCTCTAACATTCAATATTTTTCCTTCCCAATCCACTGCCTTTTGCACTAACTAGTAAGATTTTTAAACCAGTTACCATTTGAGAAATGCTCTTATGTGAAATACAAACTACACAGAATATCACTCAATCAAGCTGGAATGAATGCTTCATAAAACAGCTAGAAGTCAGTGAGAAATCATAAACAAACTTCCAAAATAGCCTCAAAAGCTGTTACAATCCTTCTACACAGTATGATTTGTTGCAAGCATTTATTAAAGTGCTTTTCATTATGAAGTGTTGAAATTTTGAGTTCTATTAAAGAGAAGTATCAACATGGAAACAAGAAGAAGAAAAAGCACTTCAATCTTAAAAGGAAGCAGAGAGAATCAAGCATAAACTGGACTTCAAATCTGATACACATTATGCATTTTAAAAAGTCAATATACAATGTCACTGAATTATACATGCAGAAATTATTGAACTGGTGAATGTTTCTGTTGTATATATTTTCAGTTCTTAAAAACTGAATACAAGCTCCTCAAAATAGTAATAAAAAATGAAAGGTATATAAGCCATCACAGGAAACTTCAAAAAAAAAGTTAAAAAATCTCATCCAATTATGAATTGCTATAATCTTTATAATCTGAATGAAATAATATGTTAAACTGATAAATACAACATATTATCAACAATGGAGTTACCCATTTTTCCTTTAGCTTTCTTATGACTATAGAGCACTCGGTGCAATGAAGTACTTAACCCTTTCATGGATCATGGTACATACATACACATTACATTTTCGGCCCCTGTAGGTTTATCTGCAGGCATTTGAGCCACATCACTTTAGTATGTTCTGGCAGGAAGTTAGTCTGATCCCCAATTCAGTGTTGAGAGCCATTTCTATGAAAGGATGCTTCCGGTAGGAGTGATTGTGTGACTTTTGTGTCTTTTGGCTTCTGTACAGCAAGATAAGGCTCGCAAGCATGTTTACTATTTGCTGTGTTACTGGAAAGGTATTGTTACCGGCATTTGGAAATATTCAAGTAAATGAGTTATTTTTGGGTGAAAACAGTTTGTGATGCACTTCCTGGACCATGGCACCAATATGTCTCGTGTGTGGTGTGCTTCAGGAATATGGTACGGATATGGCCCAGTCTAATCAAACTGATAACGATCATGTGCAGCAAGTGCAATGTTTATTTAGTATGCTCTGTGTATTTTTAGAAAGTTAAGAATATTTTATGGCTCAATTGTTTCACCAGGAAGTAGAGATGCACCATGGGAGTGGTATCTGCTATATGTAATATGCCTCATGGAACATGGGAATGATATATCCTGCTTGCAATTGGCGCCCATTTCTTCAAATAATAAAAAACTAACAACAAGAAATGATTCGGCATCCATTCCATTATTGTAAAAAACATGGCATCACCAAGAAGTTCCCAAAAAACTCCAATACCCATGAAAGGTTTAATGGGGCCCTTTTAGTCACAGTCTCTGTGACTCACACACAATGATTAAGTGGACTATGCAAATAAGGTGTATAGAACCTGTGATGGTTGGGGTTGTATGTTCGCTCGGCTGGGCAATGATTCCCAGTATTATATGGCTGTCCTCCATTTTGTGATCTGATGCAGTGATCCAAATTATCCTCCACTTTATGTGCTATAAATCCTAAACTCTTGTATGTTAACGAGGCAGGATTAGCGTAGGGTGCATCCTGAGTCACAGCCTTGCAGGCGAAAATGGGACTCGGGTCCCACCCTTACTCAAGTCACACACTTCCATGGGGTGTGGCCTACATCCAATGTATATGTGTCGGTACTCTGGCAGGGCCTCCCTCTGCATTCGGCTCATCACCGTCTGACCTTCAGTTCTTGGAACTAAAGTCAGCAGGTGACCTGCAGATTCTGGCATTCGCCAGCGTTTGCAGCCCCACAGGCCAGCAGTCTATCGTCTGACCTGACTTGCCAGCTTCCAAAGCCTTGTGATCTGGCCTGCCAATTTGGGTTCGTCGGCCCCTGCAGCCACACTGAGTCAGGAGAAGCATACACCTCATCTACAGATTTGGGACTTGCCAGCCTCCACAACCGCATGAGCCATTTCCTTTACATAGTTTGTGAGTTCTGTGAGACACTGCAGTGAATTACAGGACCCAAAGACTGGAGAGAGAGTACTGGGGGGAGGTGGAAGAGATGATGTTAGAGATGATGGAGTAGGACAGCAATTTGGAAAAGCTGGCAATCTGGGACATCTTTAACCTCCACCTTGAAAGAACCAGCTCTGCTAATCCTTATAAAAGAAATTTTTCATTCAAGCACTTAAGCCATCTATGCTCATTTTTTAAACTCTAGAAGTAAAAATAAATTGACTTGTATTATAAACTCTTCAGTTTCCCCTGTATTCACACCAAGTAAGTGAACGGACCCAAGAAAATATCAACAACATCAAATTACTATGACTCTGGACAACAAATCCTAGAAGCTAACAAGCAATTAGAAAATTATTAATAGAGACAAAATTCTACAATCATATAGGAACACACGTGTTCTAATAGTCTTAATAAAGTTTGTAATGCATCTTCTAAAGTTCAGAATCTGAACTATTATCTGAACAGAATTCAGCTCTCATTTCTCGAAGTTTGAACATGCTAGGTCAAAGGAGGAAGACCTCTATTGGGGATGCTAATATCTAAAACAACATAAACAAGCTTTATACTGCTAAGACAGATGTTAACAAGTACTTTTTATCTAGTATAAATGTGCTGTACTATACTAAAGGCTTCTCAGGAATCATCTCAATCCTCTCAATTAATCTAAATCCTCTAAAACCTGAAGTACTATTATATTATCTCCATTTTAAGAGATGAGAAAATTTAAGGCTCGACCAGGCCAACGTAAGTAGTACTTAAGCCTCAATGCAGAGCCAGGCAGTCTAACTACAGAGCCCATGTATGACAAAGCTCTCTCTCCAGAGTCTAGTGAGCAGGAGAATGGGCAGCATTTTTACATTATGAGACATCATTCCTACCTCCTTTATCTTACTGAAGACTGACAACTGAGGGTTATTCGGCCAATATTATGTAAAACAGAATAATAAAATCCTTATTTAACTCATCATACAGTGAAATCTATAAGTGTTGGAACTCGACAGGACAGTCTTGTTTTTCTAGGTCTCACAAGTTTTCCACCTCTGACAGGATGCAGTCCTAGCATTATCAGTGAAAAGTATTTCAGTTTTCCCTCTCTGACATGTTTCCACCTTATACAGATTCCAGCTTTCGCAAGTTTTCCTATACTTATAAGCCTGTCGTTTCTGTTACGTGCCATCAACTCAATTTCAACTCATAGTGACCCACTGTGACTGAGCAGAACTACCCCATAAGGCTTTTTTGGCTGTAATCTTTATAGTGCACTTAACCATTCGCGCCAAAAGTCTAACATATTTTTATTAGGTTAAAGTCATACCTACAGTATCCAGAACATCTCAGGCTGTTAATTTTATGGAGAAGAAGGGAGAAGTAAGAGAGAGAAATATTCAACAGAAAAACTTTCATGCCAAAAAATTAATTCAACCCAGACCTTACCTAAAACCTGGCCAGCAATCATTCTGCCATCCTCTCCTGCTACAGCAGCCCGGGCATTTCTCTCATTAACGTACTGAACGAAGGCAAAGCCCTTATGAACAGAGCAACCAACAATTTTGCCATATTTCGAGAAGATTGCCTCCACATCAGACTTCTTGACAACAAGAGTATTGAGATTTCCAATAAATACACGGGAGTTCATGGAGCGAGGATCTGTCTTGTTAGTAACATTGCTGGCCATGGTGTCTGATAAGGTTCGTCACACAGCTGAAAAACTGGAAGGAAAAAAATGCATTCAGATGAACATACACTAAAAACAAAATACAACTATCTCTTCTTATTTTGAACTACAATTACTACCAAGAGTATCAATCAACTTTAAAGGGATCTAACAGCAGCAAATGGATCAGATCGAATATATTACTATTCAGAGACTAGAGACCCTGAATGTATCCTTAAATTAGACTTCCTCCTCTCACCAGCATTAGATTATCATTTCTCTAGGAAAAAAAAAAAAAAAATCCTCCTCATAGACTACTACTGGCAACACAATCCTCTTTAAGTCCAAGTGCCCCCTCTGTTTTGAAGCTGTCAAGCAAATTAGAAGCCCCTAAGCTCTCTACCAATTTCTACTCATATTTTCACTTTTCCAGTCATGTTAACCATTCCTTCCCATCTATCAATAACTAATAATAGCTCCATCTTCTTGCAATTGCTTTTACTAAACTGAGTCTCACTCATTCCACCTATACTAAATTTCAAGCTCTGCCCCAAACCATTCTTAAGCTAGATGAATGTGGATAACTGACAACCGTATATGCAAGTAACAGCAATAGAACCAATTCATTCACTCTGAAATACCAATTTATAGTACTTCAAACGATTTATAATACTCTGTAGATACCACGTAACAACTATCAATAACATCTTTCTGTAGATTGCAATGATTTTTAACCTAGTACTTATACGGTGATGTAGAATACATATAGCGGGTCATTTAATAATACTGGATGGTGATGATGATAAAAGTAGCCAGTAGAACGGTAGACATAAAGAGGATCAAGGGAATCAAGGAAAAGAATAGTTTTCCTCAGACTGTTTAAGACCACAATTATCTTTCTTTATGTATGTTACAGAGGCTTAATCTTCTTATAACACGGAGATTCAAAATGTCAACTTTTAACTTTTATGCAAGTCAGCCGCCCTTCTCATTCCAACACCCAACCTTGAACAGGGTTCCATGATGGATCCATCTTATAGTGTCTATTCTTGAGGTAATTTATTTCCCATTTACCTCTCTGAAAGATACTGAAGAACATCAAATCAAGAAAAATCCCAAACAGTATCTAATACTTATTATCCTTTCACTCCTCAAGGGAATCTTGACTGACTATTTTTTGTGGATTATGTAAAAATGTCTTGTATGTACCTAATACAACATGTAGTATAAGATTTTTACGTGACCCCTACCATTTTGACCCTTAAAATGCCTAGTCATGAACAGTTAAGTACTGATTTAAATGCTGTAAGTACTGGTCTTCCCTACTAACTGTTCTGAAATTCATGAACAGTCTGTCTTCACTCCATTTTGATTTCTAAATTACATCTTTAGAAACTGAAGTTTTCATTTAGCCCTTTCTTAATAGATAAAGCAATGAAGATTTACTAGTGAAATAGTGGCCACCTGCCTTTCAACTATGAGTGCCAAGAAACCCCGAGAACACCAAGGGAAGAATTAAGACAGAAATCTACTAAAAGGCCTAACCGGTTTCAGATACTATTAATGTTTGCTATTATTACACTTAGCGGCATGAGAAAGTTTTCAACAAATGTTTTTCAAAGTAAATATATCTATAGTAAATATAAAAAAAATTTCCTAGCTTTAATAACAAATTGTCCATGGGGAGGAAGGGCCCTCTACACATCACTAGCACGTCTGAGCAGGGGGGAAAAAACACCAAAAAGACACTGAATTAATGTCCCATTCAAGAGGTTCACCTTTGAACCACAAAACAGAAATGGATTTAAGTGACTACTTTCTCCATTTTGCCAAGGATGGTATATAACTAGTACCAATTTGGATGCACAGAAAAGAATTCACTGCATACAGTGGAAAACAATTCTCTTAAGAAACCCTGGCTGAAAACACCAGTAAAAAAACATCCTGGTATACGAGTAAAAAGATGCTAACAATAGTTATCATCTGAGTTTTGGACACGATTTTCTCATTTTCTTTATGTATGGTTTCTAAGTGTGCTACTAAAATCATGAGCTAGTTGTCAGAGGAAAAAGTTATAAAATGACCCCTAACTTGAAGCTCAGCTTAATGTCAGTGGAATAATTTTCAATGCCTATAAGTAATATAAAGATTGACTCAAGATACGTGCAACAGTATACAGAGACAAAAAAAAAACCAAACCCATTGCCATCAAGTTGATTCCAATTCACAGTGACCCCATAGGACAGAGTAGAACTAACCCACAGGGTTTCCAAAAGGCAGCTGATGGATTTGAATGATGACCTTGATTCTGGTGGATTTGAATGATGACCTTGATTCAGCTAAGATGTTAACAAGATATGTGCAACAGTATACTGAAACAAGATCTTTTAATCCAAGTCCTAGGAATATATCCTATTAAAGAATTAATAAAAAGTCACCACAGTCATTTTTCCACTGAATATTTGATCATCTGCTAAATACCAGGCATCAGGGCCACTTCAAGAGACAAACTGTCACAGATAAGATCCTCATAGTTTATATACTAGTGATACTGCTGCAGAAAATTTTACTGAAGCTGATATATTCCTCAAAATTTTAGAAATCACCAAATGACCTCACGTCACCCTTTCTCTACTTCTAACCTTTTATGTATCTTACCTGTGAGATCTCTGTAACAGAAGAGAGATGAATAATACCTTAAATACAAAGAGACTACAGGCGGTCCCTGGATTAGGAATGAGTTCCATCTCTAAGTCGTCTTTAAGTCGAATTTGTATGCTGGGTATGGTTCTTATCTAATGTCAGTTAGTCAAATGTTTGTCTTAGGATATAGTCTACAGTGTACCTTTCTATGCATAAAAAACATTAAAGAAACATTTCCAAATACGCTAAAACATCTTTAACGTAAGACAGTAATAATGTTTTTATGCGTGTCACAAAGTAGCACCCATCTGTTATTAAGAACCATTGTATGTACCTTGAATTTTTAATATTAATAGACTTAACTACAGGATGTATGTTAATTTGGACATTGGTAACCTGGTGACTGCCACTACTGGGAAAAAAAAGATTCCTGGAAGAAAGTACCAACAGTAGAACATAGTTTTTTAATCTCTCTGAATCCCCACATAAAAACAAAGGAACTAAATACTAAAACCATGGACAACATTTACAACAAGACTAGATGTCAGGGTATCCCAAGAAAACTCCAAACACACAAGCTGCTAAGGGCAAGCCAACAGCCACAAAATCTGCATGGTATCTTTGACTATGTGGAATCAGAAGGAAGTAACTGGTAGTCTAAAACACCTAGAAATAACAGAATCCCAAAATATCCAGATAACATTTACTGCAAAGCAAACAAAAGCCAACTCTGAAGGAAGGAGTTGATACTACCAGGGATTTTGTCTGCTCTAATAGTGAGTGCAAGGGAACGCAGTAAAAACATCTGAAGGGGCTAAGATAGCTTATACATATAAAATCTCAAAACTCAGAAGCCTCCAATCCCAATCTCAACTCACTTCCTCCCTGTAAAAGTAATCACTATTCTGACTTTTGTAGTATGTGATCACGTTCTTCCTTTATAAATAATTCTGTTGCCTAAATGTGTATCCACAGAGACTGTCTACCACACATCTGTCAATCTGTCATACTGTGATGGCTTGCGTGTTGCTGTGATACTGGAAGCTTTGCCATCAGTATTTCAAATACCAGCAGGGTCACCCTTCGTGGACAGGTTTCAATTGAGCTTCCAGACTAAGACAGACCAGGAAGAAGGATCGGGCCATCCAGCTGTGAAAAACTGGCCAGTGAAAACCTTATGAATAGCAGTGGAACACTGAACATTGTCTGATTTAGTGCCAGAAAATGAGTCCCTCAGGTTGGAAGACACTCAAAATATGACCGGGGAAGAGCTCCCTCAAAGTAGAGTCGACCTTAATAACGTGAATGGAATCAAGCTTTCAGGACCTTCATTTGCTGATGTGGCATGACTCAAAATGAGAACAAACAACTGCAAACATTAATTAATAACTGGAACGTGGAATGTACAAAGTACATGGGTCAAAAATCAAATGGAATGCATAAAAATCAATATCCTAGGCATTAGTAAGTGAAATGGACTGCTACTGGCCATTTTGAATCAGACAATCATATGGTCTACTATGGCAGGAATCACATCACATTCACTGACAAAAAAGAACATTTCAAGTTCTATCCTGAAGTACAATGCTGTCAGTGATAGGATAACATCCTACAAGAAGACCAGTTAATACAACTATTTCTCAAATTTATGCAGCAACCACTAAGGACAAAGATGAAGAAACTGAAGTTTTTACCAACTTCTGCAGTCTGAAATGAAATTGATCAAACACGCAACCAAAACACACTGATAATTACTGGTGACTGGAATGCGAAAGCTGGAAACAAAGAACAAGGATCATTAATTGGAAAACATGGCCCTGGTGACAGAAATGACACCAGGGATAGAATGACAGAATTTTGCAAGACCAACAACTTTCTCATTGCAAAAATCTTTTTCAACAATATAATCAGCAACTATACACGTAGACCTAACCAGATGGAATACACAGGAATCCTATCAACTACATCTGTGGAAAAAAACAATGGAGAAGCTCAGTATCATTAGTCAGAACAAGATCAAGGGCCGACTGCACAACAGGCCATCAATTACGCCTATATAAATTCAAGTTAAAGTTGAAGAAAACCAGTGCAAGTCCATGAGAGCCAAAATTCGAGCTCGAGTATATCCCACCTGAATTTAGAGACCATCTCAAGAATAGATTTGACTCAACGAACACAATGACACAATGACTGAAGACCAGATGAGCTGTGTTGACATCGTATTTTAAGAAAGCAAGAGATCGTTAAAAAGACAGGAAAGAAAGAAAAGACCAAAGTGGATGTCAGAAGAGACTCTGAAACTTGCCCTTGAACATAGACTAGCTAAAGCAAAAGGAAGAAATAATGAAGTAAAAGAGCTAAACAGAAGATTTCAAAGGGCGGCTCAAGAAGAGTAAGTATTATAATGTACAA